ACCTCTACTTTATCTCTAATGACTTTTGCTCCTTCACCCTCCTTCACATCTCTTCTGCTGCTACCACAGCTATGTGAAGTCCTTGGAAACAGCCTCTATGAAGTTGGGTGCCGACATGAGGATGGTGAAGGTACAAATGATGGAGAAGAGAGAGAAGGCCACCAGGCACAGCCGATCAACCACTGCTGCTGCAAATTTCCACTCACTGCAGATGGCCTCAGCCTCATCCTGGTCCCTGAACCTTTGGGCTATATATAACACCTCCTCCAGGATGCGCTGTATCTCTGGTGGTGGGATGTTAACTCCCATCCCTGGTCCAGTTCCTATGCCCAGACCTCCAACACTACTTGCAACTCCTCCAGGTGGCTCAGCCTCATCACTAAGGGAACTATGGGCACATCCCCCTAACGCTATCCCGGAGTCGCTAGAAGCCGGGCAGTGTGGGCTCTCTAGGGAGTGATAATTGCTGAAATAGAGGCTCATGGAGCCGTTGGAGGTGCCAGTGGAATAAGGTGGGCAGGATGTCTGTGAGAGGGGCACAGAGAGGGTTGGTACTGTGCTCATCTCTATAGAGCTGGTACTAGAGTGGTGCTGGGAGGTGTGATAGTACTTGTAACCAGGTCGCTTTCGCTCTTCTCCAGGTTGTTTCATACGGAGAAACCAGGCACACCAGTTCAACAGCACCACCCGAACCTGTCAGTGCCACATGTGCACAGTAACACATTCAATAAACAACCATTTGCATTAAATGTTATCAGTGACAATTGTGATGACTATCTGATTAAGTGATTAAGTCACTTTCGGTCACTCACCCACTTGGGCATCTTGCCTCCTTGAGGGTCATGATGGTGAAACTGCAGCACTATAACTGTCACCACCACAGACATTCCCACAATCATCATGGTGCTGGCAAAGTACTGGGCTGCCGAGAACACACAAAAAAAACATCAATATGCTTTTAGTTGTTTGCTCAGTTACAAAGAAGGTCATGCATTTTATATGTGTTGAATCTTTTCCCATTTCCATGCCTTTGAACTAGCCCATGGTTATATTTAACATGAACTAGCAGGTAAAATGTTAAGATGAAATTAATTCCAAAATAACTGATTTCACACTTGAACATGAAAGGGAAGCAAGTCTGAACTGTTTGTGCACAGCTTATATTGCCAAGGGGAGAATATGCACCCTTGAACTCAAACAAGGGAAATTAAATTTGTGCAAAGACACGGGTAAACAAACCAAAATAAGTTAGAGAGAGAACATTAGTGCTGGTTTTGGGGGATGTTTTCACCCACACAAGGGGACAATATGGCTGCACTAACTGAACAATGTGCTCTTTCCCAGCATATATACACACACACGCACAGTATATTTGCACTGATCAGCCACAACATTAAAGCCACCTGCCTAATACTGTGCAAGTCTCCCTCATGTCGCCAAAACAGCTCTGACCTGTTGAGGCACAGACTCCACAAGGCCTCTGAAGGTGTCCTTTGGTATCTGATATCAAGCCATCAGCAGCAAATCCTTGTACATCCCTGTACATCTGATAAATATGGAATTCAAGGCAATGCCTTGAACTCTTTATCATGTTCCTCAAACCACTCCTGAATCATTTCTGCATTGTGGCAGGGCGGATTATCCTGCTGCAAGCAATTAGGGAATATTGTTGCCATGAAAAGTTGTACTTGGTTTACAACATTGTTTACGTAGGTCCATGTCAAAGTAACATCCACATGAAAGGTAGGACCCAAGGTTTCCCTGCAGAACGATGCCCAAAGCATCACACTGCCTTCACGGGCTTGCCTTCTTCCTAGTGGCTTTAATGTGGTGGCTGGTTAGTGTGAGGACTTGCCCTCCTTTCTCTTGCTTGCAGATGACTGTGAACAAAGATAAACAGATAAAGAGAGAATCTACTGCAGTTTCAGGAAACTTCATGTCACCTGATGAAGCCAGAGATCATGTCCTTATTTGATAGGTCTTGGAAACAAAGATGGAGGGAAGAGGAAGAAGCTTAAGGATCAGAAAGGTGTTAAAGAAGAAGTGGCACAGAGAATAATACAATAAAAGGTAGGAAGAGAGGTGAGGAAAGACATTGAAAAAGATGTTAAAGTATTTATTAGAGGTGGAAGGACGTTTGCTTTGTCCTGTCTGCTTTATGGTCAATCACTGTTCACTCTGTCTTTCTTTATAGATAGAATCAGAAAAGCTTGCCTACAGATATGATGTATAATAACTCACAATATAACAGCGAGCCCTCAGTCACAAGACATATTGTTGTTCATGGCTGCACTAACTAATGATGAATTAGAACAGAACAGAATTAAAATTAACTGAGCAAAATGGTCTTTAAATACATGAGATAGGTCAAACTGAATTAACTAAAATTAAAGGAACACATTTAGCATATCTGGGGACTAAAGGCCGAGGATAAAAGATGGCCTGATCCTGGCAGCAGTGTTGAACACATATTTATTTATTTATATGTTTACAGTCAAGTTCAAGGAGGTACAATAACTCATGTCCACACCCAGTCACTGTATTGTAAAAGAACATGAGTCATTTTAACGAGACTACTGAAAGTTTCTCAGCTGGCCTTGTGTTCAGGCCAGGAGAACTGAAAGAGAGATGAATCACTCTTATTGATGACATTTATCACGTTTTTCTCAGTGATGGCAGCATGTTCAGCATGACCAAACACTACTTACATCATACAGTATGCAGTTGACATGTCAATGATATTTCAGTTTGACCTACTGAAACTGATATGACACATAAGAAAGAAAGCAAACACATGTAAGCTCCCTCTCTCACACAAGGCAGGACAAAAAAATGTTTATTTTTGTCACCCTCCTACACCATACGGTGCTGCTCCACAGTGAACAATCAGGTGATGCCAAGACCTGTCAGGCCATGTAATTTATCCCATTCGCTATACAGGTGTACTTAGAATGATGTATAGATGCCCTCAGGGTAGGCAAGTCAAATCCCAGCCACACTCAATGATGGGGATGGATGGATGGACTGACTGATTGATTCATTTTTCCAGGAGACTATAATGCATGTTGTATATTACAGGTGCTTAGTGGAAGTGCAAAAAATACTCATGGGGACAGCCATGCTGTGTGCTGCTCATTAACGTCTGTGCGCTGATAGACTGAATCGATATTAGTCACTTCAGGTTCAGTGTTTTCATAAGAACCTTTTCTCCTCTGCCAAGTAAAGTTTTCAAATTAAACACACACAAGCAGTATCTGGCACAGCTCTGCTGAGTTATTGCTTCTGTTCAAAAATTAATGTCTGTCTGAATTGTTGTTTTTTTCCATCCACAACAATGACATCCCTTCTCCCATCTTCAGCTGATCCATGCACATAAACATACACATAAATATAACCCACCGATGAGAGGAACGGAGTCAGACGTGGCAGGCATGATCTCAGCTACCAGAAGCATGAAGACAGTTAGTGAAAGCAGCACAGTGATGCCTTAGGACAGATCAGGAGATGCACACAAGGAGAGAGAGAGAGAGAGAGAACATGATATATATAAAGTTATGATCATGGTCACTGGTGTGTAAAATTATTCCTGTAGTTAGTTACATATGTAATCAGTTATGTTGTCATGACTACAACCATTTGTCAGATAGTGGCTCGTCTGACATATCCAAGGTAAGATACAGCTTTAGAAATTACTCAAATATTCTGACTTTGCATCTTATTTTGAAATTCAATTATTCCAAGGTGATTTGGCATGCATATATTCAAGGCTTGCTATGTGAATCATAAGGATGTGTTTGCAGACATTCAGACAAGTGACAAATTAAAGGAGAATCCAACATAAAGTGTCTTAAGGTATTCAACCACCACGTGCCAGCGCTGACAGAACAGCTTCAGTGCACCTTGGCATTGATTCTACAAGTCTCTGGATTCTACTGGAGGGATGAACACCATTTTTCCAAAAGACTTTCCCACATTTGGTGCTTCAGTTATTGTTATTATTATTAATTCCTTTATTTAAACAGGTAATCCCACTGAGACTGTGAGCTCTTTTTCAAGAGAGACCTGTGTACAAGATTAACATGTACAGTTTTTTAAGATGCAACTAAAACAAGACAGTCAACATACATGTTAAGTTCTAGGCACAGTTCTTATCATTTGGCAGAGTTGATGATGTTAATGGAGAGTGCTGTCTTACATGTCATAGCTGTTCAACTGTGAAACTGTTTGTTTCAACCAATATATCGGTTTTCTTCTACAAAGAATACACATGTTTGTGTTTTCACCATCTCACCCAGAGAAATCTTTTCCCCCGAGTCTGCAGGTAACAGGAAGACCAGCAGGGCCAAGCCAGAGATCAGCACACAGGGGATGAGCAGATTGAGGCCATAATATAGAGTCCTGCGGCGCATGGTGACTGTAAACGTCACATCAGGATAAGGCTCTTTACAGCACTCGTAGTACAGCTCATTACGCTTGGCTGGCACGCCTGTGGGAGAGGTAAACACACACGGGTAATTTGAGGACTGAAAAAGTGATTCAGTTTGAAGATTTAAATAGCTGCAATTACTTTATCTCTTTGTGTGCATTATCTGTACATATGGATGGGTTAATATTTTGAAGAACTACAGTTGTTTTTATTCGATGTATTAGTAAAACGTTTCAGCTAACCAAAAAAAAAAAAGAAAGAAAAAAAACATCTGAATCACTTTTGAGTTTTGGAAGATGAACTATCCCTCTTTGAACTCTAATTCTAGGGATGTGTGCTGCACACACATACTGTATGTTCTGGTTACACACCTGATAGTGTGTCAGACACTCCTATTTGATGCCATCTGGTGCTGGTGCTGTCTGACACCCATTTCCAGCTGCCCATTGTCCCAGTGGCACCTGGATCTGCTGCTAATGTGTTCTACATGGGAACACCATGCTTGGGAGGTCTTCCAAAAATTCTCCCCTTTGCAAATCCAGCAACTACCACCCAAATGATGTCCCAGAATGAAAGCCATTTGTATAAGTATTTCATTTTCAACAAAAACTGTTTATTATTATACTCAGCAAAAGCCTCAAACAACAGGTCTACACTCAAGTGTCAAAATCTTTTAATGCCTGTAACAATGTCAGGAGCAAAGGAGGAAGTCATGTTATGTAGAGACAGTATGCACAGGGAGGAGGTCCTGTTGGACTGATGGGTTGACAAAATATGGGACTTTAACACAGACGATAACCGTTCATTTCTATAACTATGACCACAATCATTCTACACTGCTCAAAAAAATAAAGGGAACACAAATAGTTGAATGCCTTATTTTTGTGTTCCCTTTATTTTTTTGAGCAGTATATAAGCATAACCATGTGTTTATTATTGGAAATATGACAACAAATCAAGCCTTAATAAAGCACTTGTTTTAACCCAATCCATGATTTTGTTCCTAAACCTAACCAAATTTTTGCAAATGCACTTCACAGAGTGAATACAGCAGGGGTTGTTGTGCAGCACTGTGATACCCCTAGAGAAACTGTTAGTTTTCTTCTCATTGCAGGACTCAGAAATGGGTTTTGTGTTAAAGCATCTGCACTGAACAATACAATCACACTGGATTCTCAAATACAGCCATCTATCCTGATGACAATACCTGCAGTGATAAATATATAAACACAGACACTCTTACCTACAAGGTCCCACTCCCCATTGGGTATGTATGTAGATGTGTCCACGTCCAACATCTGGAGGTCCAGCAGCCAGCCATTGTGCGTCCAGGAACCAAACTTCAAGTCACATTTCTGAACATCGAAGGGAAACCAACGTACATCAATGTAGCAAGTGCTCTTCAAGATGCCAGGAGGGATGTACTGGCAGTGACCTGATGCGTTGACCAGTACGTTGGTGTGGAAAGTGGCATCAAACCTCTCATCCGCGCTGGGGAAGCAGAGAGTTTGTGCAACTTTAAAACAATGAATAATCTGGCTGTGTGCTGTAGCTCTATCTTGCTCAGTGTTGCTTATCTATTTATTGCCTTTTTAATAGATTTTAAGCTGGCAATTACTTCGAAATGGGTTTGCCAGTTTGTACTAATGCAGAGAGATGAAAACTCATAATAAAATGACCTTGTGAATGAACAGTGATGGAAGAAATCACAAGAAGGTAATTTTGTAGGGTTTGCCTGTTTGTTACAGTCAGTGAGAGATGCACATTTGGTTAAGACAAATTAGGGAATAAGAAAAGTGTTTGATTAGAGAAAGAGGACATTAATTTGAAGGCTACACAAGACTTGTATGTTTAAGGTCATTTGTTTTTGTAATAAAAAAACTAATTAGTCAGCCCATTAGATCAGCACTTCACTGTTGTCAGCGTTTATGCGTACTTGCAAGTGTCCCCGTCTCTCTGCTGTTAGTGCCTAACCCACCACAGCAGCAAGCAGTAAAGTGATACATCCACCCAGCCATCGCTGTAGCAACCAGTCTTCTACTTCAGTCCTTCACCCAAATACACACACATTCAGGGTGGAGTGAGATCAAATATTCAGAAACCAAATCAGTGACCCAAGAAAACACCAGAAATGCCTCCTTCGAGGCTCTACAACTCACAACCTGATGGGATTATATGAAGGCAGCCATGGATACACATAGATGGATACAGTATATTGCAGGGGCTTGGCAAACACGGTACAATGATTCTGGATTAATTAATATACATCCAGTAAAACTGCTCTTTATAAAAGCATGCATAACCTTTCATGCTGATCAATGAAATGATCAACTGGAATTATGATTAGGATCTTGATTATGATTCTATTTTATGAAAGTCTTTTAATAATCTTATTATTTGTGAAGTTAGACCTTTCAGGTTAAGTGGCCGAAGTGCAAGCAGTCTTGAGACAAACGACTGTGAAAGGCAATGAGTCAGAGCAGGACTCACAGCAAGATGATTGGAGTTTTTTTTGTGGGATATCTGTGTGCACCCTAGTGAGGTCTTCTTCTTCTTATGTTGCAGAGTTAATTCCTGGTTGGCTTGATATACAATAAAAAGGCCCACACAGTACACCTATATGCACATGCACACACAAATCAACACACTCACGATACATTCCCCAATGAAACGATAATGCCAGAGCGCCTCCAACATCCTGGAGCTGCATTCAGCCTTCACAAAAGAATGTGGCCTGCATCTTAACAGAAATTGCAGGTGGACTCATCTCATTTGTACCTGGCTTTGCTCAGATTGAGTCATTTATGTTTTTAAGAAGGCTGAGTAATGTAATTTATTTCTCTTGTGTGTGTGTGTTGCTAGCAGCTGAGAGACGGACATCAAGGTTGGCCGAGGTGCAGCCACGCAATAAATTATTCCTTCTTTTATCTAAAGGTGTGTGCTTTCCTGGAATCACTGCTTACACACATCACAGTAGAGAATGCTATGAGGTATGTGTGTGTGCATGTGAAGAACAAAAGTACTTAAAATTTTGATCCTTAAAGTTGTCTGAGAAAGATCACTTAATTAGAGCACACAAAATCTGTTGTAACGCATTGAAGCAGATGAGTGAAAAACTGTTTTGCAAAGGAAATCAACCTTAAAACATTTAAACTTTACTGTAACTTGTATCAAAATAGAAATATACTTAGAATAACTGTGTCAGCTATTCAGGAGATTGTTTCATGAATCTTAAGACTATTTTTAAACATAGCACTCTGGAATAATGAACAATTTGCAATGTACATATTTCAGTTATTAAACATGAATACAACTGGACAAGCAATAGCTCAGGGACAATGGGAAGTGGTTGTGTTTGTAAAGTGCGACACACACACACACACACACACACACTGGGGAAAGTACTATGGACAGGCTGTGCAAGGTGGAAACAGAGACAGACCAACAGCGACAATGGTGGCAGTGTCAGGTTCTTGCACCATGACACATGAGTCACTAAGAGTCCTTCTCACTCACTGCACACATGCACACAATGACCAAAAAAGTTGTCACAAATTGTACCAGAAAGAGAGCCATGCAGCATACTGCACTAGTACATTTTGTATCCACACACATAAAGAGGCAGGCTATTGCTAATTATGCTGTCAACATCTCATTAATTTGCTTCCAATTCAGGCTTGTTTATGTAGAAGATAGGGTTCGACCCCATTCATCAATTTACAGGAAACATATTTATAATGTCATATCTTCTTAATGTAGTCTTTATACACCAAGTCCCAAATGAGAATGCACTTTGAGAACATGCACATCAGTGCCACAGACAGTGTTTGTTTATTTAAGTCATCCATTAATTTAACCATTCATCCAGCTAAAAAAAAGCCTTTTATTCCCTTCATCCAGTTGTTTCTCCTTTCATCATTATGGCTTGTCATAGTGCTGTCTATGCTGGACATCTACCTTGCTGCCTGTGGTTTACCTGAGTTGGATGTGCCTCATCCATCCCCAGTTGAGTGAGAACATGAACTTTTCCCTCTAATAAAACCCAATGCCACACATGCCCCATGTCATATATTGTACATTATAGTCATGCACACACGTGTACACAGTCCATTGTGGCAGACAAGCCAGCACCAAGTTTACACTCGGCTCTCTCTTCTGTCTCATGAAAAGACAAATACATTGGCTCGTTTGTAATAACCTTATTTTGACTTTGAAAATATCCAGTTTCTCCAAAATAAATTGAGTTTTCATAAGCTGAGTTCAATTAAATTTCAAAACACATTTAATCCTTACTAATTATTCTGAGCAATGCTGATAGAGTAATGTGGTTTGATTTGGAAGATGTCAGCTGTCAATCACAGCGTAAAAAGCTTTGCAATTATGGTAAATAACAATATCTTCCGCTGGAGGTATACAGGGATATATGGTCTGGATGGTAAAGCCATGACTCATAGTACAAATTACCCATGTGTGAAACATCTCTGAGACAGTGGGAGTGCTGCTGAAAATTTGAAAAGCAATATGATAGAGACATGAGAGATTTCACACTGGGATAATAACCCATCACAGGCAGTATCTGATTCTTTTAATCTCACTCTACATTAAATATAATCTGTACTGAGATGACATCTGATCTAAACCCTGCTCAACAACATTAGCTTTATATTAAAACAGAAGAAATAAGTGAGTGCATTTATAGTGACCTCTTGTCTGAGCAGCATTCCAATAAGCCTAAAAGCATCTGCTATTCACCACAGTAAAACTAGCATGGCTGCACACTGATGGCCCACTGTCTGCTGTCAACATATTTCATCTGTTCTGGTAACTGAACCATAATTAATGAGTTGAAGCATGAGATGGGATTTTTTTTTTAACCACACCAGCAATGTACCATGACATTTGGTTCAAATATTCATGATCCTTAGCGGATGATTCCTAAAGACTTTGGCTATGGCCAGCAGCTCACTTATTTTTCATTTATCCAGTGAAATATCAGCCCTGCTAGATGGATTGGCACAAAATGTTGTAGAGACAGGCAAGGCTCCCATCAGGATGAATGTAATAACTCTGGTGATCCCTTAATGTTTCAGCTGGCGCCATCGTCAGGTCAAACTGAATTAGGTTTATAGTCAAATACCTAAAAAACTAATGACATTCCCAACAACATAAGCTGCACTTTAAACTAAGATGGTGAACATGCTAAAAACTAGTAATATCAAAGTGTGTTTTGTAAACAAGAGAGGGCAGTTGAGAAGCTAGCAAGACACAAACAGGTAGACTGAAGGAGAGAGTAATATGCTGATACCTTGACAGATAAGAGATGTATATGTATATGGGATGATTGGTAAGGAGGAGTCTGTGAAGGCTGGGAACAATAAAATATGGAGAGGAAGGGTTGATTGAATAGAGTGAATTATAGTGAGGCACAAATAGAATGAGCTGAGAAGTGAGATGGAGGATTAATGATGGAGGGGGAGGAGTGGAGGTTCTGTAGAGGGTAAAAGGCAGAGATGCGGAAAGAGAGTAGTGAGAGCAGGGAGATTAGAAAGGGTAATCGCAGCAGGTCTTTAAAAGATGAGCTTTTAAAATTTGGGTTAATACTCCCAAACCTTTTGTTTTGTCCTCATGTTCCCTGTAATGTGTGTATTTCTGTGTGAGT